TTAATAATTAATTATTTAATCATAAATTTTTTTACATTTTTCAAAAATATTATAATACTAAAAGTTTAAACATATTAAATTCACAAATAAAAAAAAACTACAAATTTTATTTAAATATTTTTATTAATAATTATAATTCAAAATATATAATTTATTTAAATTAACAACCATTCTCTTACTTCCATAAAAAGATTACAACTAACTTATTTAAGCATATAACAAGTACCCTAAACTTATAAGAACACAAGTAACTCTCCTCGCTGTCAAAACCAAAACACTTTTCCCAATAGTTCAAAAGAGATAATATATTTACTCTAAGGTACTGTTTGGATAAAAAATAGTAAAGGGAAGGGAAGGAAGGGGGACGGAGGAAAAGAGAAGGAAAAGGAGGGGAAAGAAAGGAAAGGAAAGGAAAAGAAAGGAAAGGAAAGGGAAGAAAATGGAAGGAGATGATTTGTGTTAATTTTGTTTGGATAAATAAAAATAAGAAAGGGAAGGAAAGGGAATGATTATATTTTTTATATTTGAATAATTAAGGTAAAAGAAAGGGAATGATTTAAATTAATTTCAAATTTATAAATTTATCTTTTAAGATGAAGGAGGACAATTTATGGTAATATATGAAAACGTTAATTATATAATTATCTTTAACATAATCTAAATAATTCCTGCAATTCCTCCCAAATCCCCCAAATCGAAAAGTTTGCAAATTTACAAAGTTGAGAATAATTGAAAGGAGTCTGAATCCGTTGATTTTCCTCCCATTCTACTTTTTTAGAAACCCAAACAAAAAGAAGGGACAACCTCCCTCACTCCCCCTCCCTTATCATCCGTCCCCATCCCTTCCCCTCCCTCTCCGTTCAATCCCTCTAATCCAAATAATATGTAAGTGTATTCATCTTGATCAAGAGAGCATCAACCAGCCTTCCTTAAAAGCAGCACTGAACCTCTCCGATTCATCCTTAGAAAGAGCTAGCCCGAACTCAATCCCTCCTTCTTCATCTCGACTTTCCACAAT